TAGGTTGTCTAAAAACATTCCTACCATTTATAAGATTTCTAGAATCATTTCTAGGTTGTCTAACATTACCCTATCATTTTTAAATTTCCTAGAGTCATTTCTAGGTCGTCTAAAATTATTCCTAATATTTTAAAAATTCCTAGAATTATTTATTCTAGGTGGTTTATTTATCTTAATATATTTAACAATTTTCCTAGGCTCTTCTACCTTAAGTTTTTCTAAAGTGCTTCTAAGTTCTTCTACTTAAATTTTTGAAGAACTACAAGTAGAGCATGGAGAATTAGGCTTATTTAAGTTAGCCTCATCAACTGCCTTAAATTTATTTTTAAGGCCCTCATTTTCATTTTTCAAAAAAATATTTTCCTCTTCAAAAAATGTGAGTTTTACTCGAGTGGATTTGGCAATTTTAGAGGTTTTCTTAAATTTATCTAATAACTCATAAAATGCATCTTGTAATTCTTCAAAGGAAAAAGATGGGTTTGAAGAATTTACCTCGTTTTGTTCTTCAAGAGTGACGAGGCATAAATTCGAACAATCATCTTTGGAAGGTTGATCATACTTCCACGAGAAATATGCGAATTCATATTGATTACTCCTTTTCTTGAGCTTCGCGCACTCATACTTTCGGTGACTGAGCTTATCGCACTTATGACATTTTGGAACGTTTTCCTTCTTGCTCTTTTTAAGTTCATGTTTCAAAAACTCGTTAAAGCATTCAATCAAAATATCACAGGAATCACTATCAACGCTAGAATCGTTGTTACTTTCTGAATCATTAATCTCTACTCCTTGTGAAGAGGATGCTTTAAAAGCAATTTCTGTTCTCTTCTTTACATAAAGAGTATGAGAGAGATGATTTGTTTCATAAGTGATAAGGTTACCTCGAAGACCGTCGTATGTGATGATGTTGTAATCTCGGCCTTCATAGATGGAGTTAACCTTCGACTCTCATTCCTTGGTAAGACTTTGCAGGATTTTCCTCACTAACTACATATCGATGAATGTCTTTCCAAGCATATCGAGGTCATTGACAATGTTTGAAAATCTTTCAAACATGTCCTCCACAAGCTCGTTCTCTTTCCTAAATAACACATGTTCATGGGTTAGTAAATCAATTTTTGAATCACAAACTTGAGGCGTACCTTCGTATGTGATCATAAGTTTGTTCAACATTTGATTGGTAGTTTGGCATCGAGAAATCTTTTGATAATCGTTGGCAATGACAACACAATACACGAAGTTTATGGCGATGGCATTCAATTGAGCCTTTTTGAAGTCGGCTTCATCATATTCATCCCCGTTCTTCAGGATGATTGTATTGCCTATCTTCTTCAGAGGCAAGTTATCTCCATTCTTGACAGCAAGCCAAAACTTGAAGTCATTTGACTGAACAAAGATCCTCATCTGCTCCTTCCAATAGGAGTAATTTGTTCCATCAAAAATGGTAACCTTCCGGTGGATTGTCTTTTTTGAATCCCTACATTCAACATTTTCAAAAAAAATTTGATCATTTTCTCAAACGTCACAAAGAGCATTAGAGAAACCTGCTCTGATACCAATTGTTAGACAATGTGTGCAACTCTACAGAGGGGTGAATAGAGTTGTTGAGAACGATTATCGAATTTTGCAGGATTAAATAAGATAAAAAAGTGCAGCGGAAATAAAAAAAAGTGAAGGCAAAGAACACACCGATGTATACTGGTTCACCACCTCTTGGCTAGTCAAGTTCCCCGAGAGACTCTCTCGAAGCTACCACTACTTCCATTAGCTTACGGGTGCTTAACAAACCGCTACAACATGAGAATTTAAATCTCACAAGCCTCAATACAATCGCTCGTAGATGTGCCCTCTACAAGACTCACACCAGAGACTTAAGTCACATAAATCTTGTGCAACAAGAAGAACAATCTTCTTTAACCTCTCAACATAAACTCTCACAAGAGTAGAAATGAAAAAATGATTACGCTCTAATGGATGACAAAACACTCTCTTGAAAATAATTAGTTTTCTCTCAAAATATATGAATTTGAGGAAGAATTGAATGGAGGAGTATAACCTCAAGATATGAGAGTTTAGGAGTACTTGTTCATTCTGAAAAACACCAAGGAATGGTGTAAAAATAGGGGTTGAAATAATATATCCGTTGGGAAAAGAAATGAAATGATTTTGACAGGTTTCAGCTTAGAGGGTCGATCTAAGCTATGTGATCGATCCCCGGGTGACCGACCAGACCATTGGATCGACCCAAAAAGGCTGCAAAGTGAAGCAAGAATGTTGAGCTGAGTTCGGGGGATCGATCCATGCCTCTGGATCGATCCTCTGTAGGAAAAGCTGCACACACTAAAAAATCATTTGATTGATCCAACAATGAGGATCGATCCACTAACAGATAATTCTCAAACAGGAAGGCCCCAAGGCATGTGTGCGAGTTGGAAGGTGTTTTGGGAGTTTGTGGTTTGTTTGGGACAATGAAATGAAGTGAGAAGGCTCCCAAATGGTTAAAATATATTCAAATTCAAATTTGAATATTTGAAGAAATTTTTGGTGTAGAAAATGAGTTCCAAAAATATTCTGTGTGTCAAACGATGTACATGAAAAATGTTTGAATAAAATATTTTGCTTACCAAAAATATTTTCTAATATCAAAATAAATATTTTGATAAATGTTTGACACACATTTTGTAACTGACTCAATAAAAGTATTTTGAATAGTAAAAAAGATTTTTCAACTAACTCCAAAAATAAATACTTCCTCCGTCCCATAAAGTGTTACCCATTTTGACTAAAGTTGAAATTAAGGGAAGGATAATTTTGTGTTGACTTTCCAAAAATACTCTTGATGTGATGGGTAAAAGTAGGATGTGATGTGTAGATTATTAGGAAAAAGGTATGATGTGATAGGTAGGGTTTGAAAAAGTAAGGGGTAAAAGTGGTTTTTTAATAGAAATGGGTAAGGGATTGTGAGACACAATTTTTTTTGAAACGTGTAAATATTTTTGGGACGGAGGGAGTATAACTTTTATATTAACTCTCATAAAAACTAAATTTTGAGAGAGGATTATTTTTGACATCCTTATAATATGTTCCTAAACTCAATAAAATAAAAAGTCTTCGGAAATCTTCTATTCCTCCTGAGTCCTCCGTTAGACGCTCCGAACGCGTCTCGGACTCCAATAAAATGTTGTGCACCTTCTTGAATACTTTAAGGAATATTCATTTCAAGACTTCGTGTTTGGCGATGTAGCACTTTAATCTTGACTTGAATAATTTGTGTTTGGCAATTATCAAAATCTGTGAGTCAACATTTAACAACACAAAAAGGGTTGAACTCATGCATTCCAACAATTGCCACATGTCATTCTCTAAATATTAAAACTTGTCATTTCTCAAGTTTTACACATGGCATTTTCTTAGAGACCAAACTCTCAAATTTATATATAAAGGATAAAGGATTTTTGCAACTTGATAACTTCAAAGTAAATGTTTTCCCGAAATGGAGTCTATAAGCCAACTCGGGGTGGGTTCGTTCCTCTAGCAGCCACCTACTTGAAAAATTATTTTGAAGACTTATTCAATGTTTTGATGATGGAACATACCAAAATACCCTCCATTTAGTTTCCATTTAATATGCATTTTTATAGAGGGCTATTTAGGGAATTCATGGTCTCAATTCCCTAACTATTCCTCTAATAAGGTCCCTTTCTAATAAGGTATTTCCCAAATTAGTACTCAATAAGCAATAATTACCAACGTTTTCCTTTATATAATTGAGGAGTAGTTCTCTATAAAAAATGCCTATTAATTGACAGTTAAATATAATGAAGAGTATTTTTGTATTTTCCATCATCTAAACTATGAATAAGCCCTCAAAATTGGTCCCCTCAAATTAATAAGTGGGTGGCTGCTAGAGAAACGAACTCACCTCGAATAGGGTTATGGACTCCATTTCAGAAAAACATTACTTAGAAATTAAATTATCAGTTTTAAAGAATACTTAATTGTAAAGGAGAACTTCGAGAACATACTTTAAGTCTAGATGATAGAAAATACCAAAATACCTTCTATTTGACTGATATTTAATAGATATTTTCGGCAGAAGACCATTTAGAACTAAATCTAAATTATAAAGGATCACACATGTAATTATTGCGTATTGGGGACTAATTTGAGAAAACACCTTATTAAAAATGATTATTTTGGAAATTCACTCAAAATTAAACTACAAATATATGCTTTCTAAATCACGTCATTCTCCAGTGTTTCTGCATTTTCGGAACAAGCTTGGAGTTTCTCAAGGCACCCAAATCTTGCAGGGTGTATTGATAATACATAAAACTCCGTTCCGAATGTCTTTCTATTTGACTTTATTTTTTCTAGTAAACTTTGACATTGATATTGGAAAAAGTTACAATAATTTGTCATGATATAAAGGTCTTGATTTAATTTTATATTAGGACTGCCCAGTGGTCTGGCCTTAATCTCCGAACTAATCATCCTTTAAGAGAAATTATGTGCAGTGGTGCCGGGAGTAAGCCTACGTTTAGTAGATCATTTGATCCATAATGCCCTCGTTTTCAATGTGTCAAACCCACCAAAAGAGCTAACAAATCGCAATTTTTTGTCCTTTTATTTTGATGGAAAAGCATGAAACACCACCTAATTAAAATAGATGGAAACAAGGGGTTGGTGATTAATTTCTTCCGTCTCAGAAAACATTACCCATTTTGAATAGTATTTATTAGTCAAACAGTTACACACTTTGACTACAAATTTTGAAAAAAGTATATTGAATTATAATATAAATTTAATATAATTGAATTTATCTTAAGATCTAGTTTTGATATATCAATTTTTTATAACATTTCTTTATTTAGATGGTATTTAATTTATGTTCAAAGCGTGTAATTATTTGCCCAAAAAAATTTCAAAATGGATAATGTTTTGTGGGACGGAGGGAGAGTATATAAAATATAAATAGAGAAAAGGGATCCCCATAATCTTGCAAGCTAGCCAAGCCCTCCCTCCATACATACAGAATGATGGCCTCAACAAACTATCCCTCCCCTTCCCAAATTGTGGAGTCCAAAGACACACAAGAAGTTATAGTAGTGATCGTACCATTTCTTGCACAAGGCCACATTAATCTTCTTGCCCACATGTCCCGCCTCGTTGCCTCCTACGACTTGCCCGTTTATTTTCTCGGTTTGAGCATCGACATCGTCACAGCCAAACAACGTATCCAAGGTTGGAACCCGACCGACTACCCGACCCTTCGGTTCCATGAGTTCCCCCCGCCCCCGTCTTACCAATCCATCACCAACCCCACCCGTGAATTCGGGTCGTACGCTGACTTGTTAGCTGACACGATGACAGCGGCCGTGGATTTACGCGGCCCCATTAGAGAGCTCCTGTGGGAGCTCTCAAGCAAATGCCGAAGGCTCGTGGTGGTTGGCGACGCCCTGATGGCCACGGCTATACAAGACGTCGCTTCCATACCGAACGCTGAGGCTTACAACTTCTATGTCGGGTCAGCCTTCCACGATGCCTCGCTCGTCTGGGAAGTCTCCCGTAGAGTGCTTCACATCCCGCCTTTCCTCTGGAAGCTCATAGGGAAGCTTGTTCTCCCTTCCGGTGCAGTGATCCCGGACGGTCTTCCGACCCCACAAAGCTGCTTCCCGGCAAATTTCTTGAAGTTCATCGTCGACCAACGAGCCAACCACAAGTTCTTCAAGGGTCATCTGTTCGACGCTTGCAGAGCCATAGAAGGCCCATACCTCGACCTGCTCCGAAGGTGCTACAGGCTACTCAGAAGAGGAAACGTGTGGGGGATCGGTCCTTTCAACCCAGTCGTCACCCAATCAGTAACAAGCAATAATAATTCCACAGACCGTCACAGCAGCCTTGGGTGGCTGGACATGCAGCCACCCAAGTCTGTTATTTTCGTCTCCTTTGGGACTCTAACCGTCCTGTCCGACGACCAGCTCCACGAGCTAGCCGCAGGGTTGGAACAGAGCGGGCAGAGGTTCATCTGGGCGGTGAAAGATGTGCTAAAAGGAGCGAAAGGATGGATAGGGCTGCCCGAAGGATACGAGGAGAGAGTCAAAGGGAGAGGGCTCATCCTCCGGGACTGGGTCCCGCAGCTCGAGATCCTGGAGCATGGGTCGACGGGCGGGTTCTTGACGCACTGCGGGTGGAACTCGTGCATGGAGAGCATATGCAGGGGAGTGCCAATGGCGACGTGGCCAATCCAGTACGACCAGGCGAGGAACGCTGTCCTGATGACGGAGGTGCTGAAGATAGGGATCGCCGTGAAAGATTGGGAGCGGAGGGAGGAAGTGATAACTGCGGCGGCGATTGAAGCGGCCGTCCGGAGATTGATAGGGTCGGCGGAAGGAGAGGAGTTGAGAGTTAAGGCGAGAGAGATGGGGAGAGCCGTGAAGCAGTCCGTGATGGAGGGGGGCGTTTCTCGCGTGGAGATGGACAGTTTTATTGCTCATATTGCCAGAAAATGTTGAGAGGGAACCGAAGGAGAGGTGCGTTGAAATAAATACCTCTAGTTTTCTTTTTTTCTTCTCAAATGCATTTCTCATCATTGTAATTGATTTAAGTTATTTTCATTCTATGTGATTAGTGAATAATGTGAATCTTTAAGAATGTCTTCTTTGAGAAAAAATGCTTACTAGAATAAGAATTAAAAAAAAGAAAGAACTAAAATATGATTTTAATATTTTTATCTGTAAAATAGGATTTATAGTTCCAATATAGAGTGATACATTGTCACAAGACAATAGTCCTATTTTGGTGATAAAATATATCACTCATATATATTTCGGCAATGAATCTATGTTTTACTTTTATCTTGGTGATTTCTTAATAATGTTTTCAATTAATGTTGCCATTTTGAATATTGTTTAATGATAGAAAGTAACATTGAAAACAAAAACTATCAAGCCCCCAAAAGATCAATATCCATCTCAGATCAGTAGAACAGTCGTCAGCTAATTTTTTTATTGAATTTTTCTTGGCAACCCTGCTATATATGCACGCTCCCTTTCTTCTACGGGAACGGATCTTTCATCTCCAACGGGTCGAAATCCCATTTTCAGAACGCTGCCGCAAATTCTGAATTCAGGTTCTTGTACGCGCTTTTGTCCTTAGCTTGTCCTGCATTGTCAAACCATATACTCCCTTTCAGTAGTGTTTATCTGATTTAATTGTACTTAATAAGTCAAACCAAACAAATATATTGGAAAAAAGACTAAAGTAGGAATAAAAAATTAAAAATATACAAAAATAGCACTTCCGTGTTAAAATACATATACATTACCAAACATGGTCATGTACATTACCAAATAATATACTAACGCGCACATGTACAAATTACAACCACATTACCACAATGAGATGTCTAATTTCGGAAATAAAAACATATAGATATCATGACGTTGATAATTAGTGTGAAAAGAACGGCAGTTTAATCTATTACTCCTTTTACTCTATGAAAAGGTTCGATATTTGCTTGTCCCAAGAACGTTCCACACTATTAATAAAATAAAACTTTTTATTTATCTATATCATTTTCAAACAAGTAATTTTATTTTTCTTAATAATTGTGTCGATCCCATTGTTGAACCCTTTTGTCGGATCAAGGGAGTATTATTGTTTATTATTGGTTATTCAAAATTAAAAGAGTAAAATCACAAAATAGTCATTTAGTTTTTAGTAAGGTAATATTCGTTAAATGATAGAGTACAAAGTAGTAGTTAAGTGGAAATAGTTCAAGCCAAAAGAACAATACTAAACATAAAAACAACAATCTAATGACCAAGCTTCTTTTGAATCGGTTGTACAACTGAAACAAAAAGTAAACCCATCAATTGAATCGCAAGTATTTGCATCGGTTTCCAACCAATTTAAAAAGGTACAAATGGGCGATTTAAAAGGTCTTTTTAATAGTGTACTAGTGAAGATTAACGCTATGTTTGGTTCAAGATATTTGGAAGGAAAAGAAAAAAATGGTTTTTACTCATTTTCCTCACCAAAATGGGAAGAATTTGGTTTTCCTTCCACTTGTTATATTTTGTTTTCTTATTTTCTTTTCCTTCCACTTTTTCTTTCTTTTCCCCTCTAACCAAGCAAGAAAAACTATTTTCCACTTCACTTTCTTTTCTTTTCCCTTCTAAATTTCTTGAACCAAACATAGTGTAAAGCAATATAGTAGTAGAAAAGGGAAGTAATATTTGCACTGAATAGGACTAAAACATAATTCATTTCCCAATGTAGGACTTAAACTTTTTTATTCACCAAATAGGACTTAATAATGACTAGTGAGAAGAATAATGTCCAAGTGATGCTGGTCATTTAGTTGAATAATGACTAATTGATAATAACCAATGATCCTATATTGAGAAATAAAAACATATGATTCTATATTGAGAAGGTCATTATGTTTTAATCCATTATCGGAGGGAAATGTTACCGCAGTTGGGGAGTGATGGACATTGGGAGCATCCCGAATAAGCTCTCGATCATGTTCGCTATAATTACCATCATTATCTTCTGGACGGGTTTCGGGCGGCCAACCAACGCTCGAACCAGGGAGTGTATTTCCCAATCTAGGGCATTAACCGGTACACATTCCTCCTCTCGCCATTCATGGTGAGAATGTCCGGGATAGACGGCCACTGATAGTTCACCGGTGGAACTACCATCGCCACCCCCAACAACCTCTATGGTATCCGTTTCAGGCACCCCCCCCCCCCCCCCCATGTTGGGTACGACCCCATTGGGTTATTGATCAAATAGAACTTGATCCCAATCCGATCGGCTAGTTCCTCAATGTCTGATGATTCAGATTTTTTATATTTAGTTCTCTATCATCAAATATTATCCATTTGGTCATTCTTTTATAGGTACATTTTCACAAATAGTCCCTTGTTTGACACTCTGTTATGCTGGTGTTAATTTGGTATATAGCACATCTTACCAGCATTAGAATATGTCACTGGACATAAAGTTATTATAAAATTACACTTTTAGCCATCAAACTAACACCAACATGATAGAAGATAAAAAATTATTTGTGAAAAATACTCATAAAAGAAGAATCACGGAGGTAATATTTGATAATAGAAGACTAAATAGAAAAAACTCTCTCTTATAAATGACTAATTATAGAATTTACTCTATAAAAAATACTCAAATCAAATATTACTTCCTCCGTTCCTTAAAGCTGTTCTCGTTTGGACTTTTAGAGAATTTAATAGAAAAATATTTGTGTGGACTTTCCGAAAATACCCATAATGAGTGTGAATCACATACATAGTGACGTACATGAAAAAGATAATTAACTTGAAATTTGAAATAATTTCTAAACTATAGTTATGAATATAATAATAACAATAGCAACAAGAATAATAATAATAATTTTCATGTGACATCTTTTTAAATTAATATAATGATTTATTTCAAATAATAATAATAATAATCACATTAAAATACATCATTTGGAGAATTATTGTTTAAGAAAGAGAAAGAGTTTGAAGAAAATAGAGATAATTAGAAAAAACTAGAAAAAACTAGAAAAAACTAGAAAGAATTAGAAAAATTAGAAAACTTAAAAAACTAGAAAGAACTTGAAATAATGGGAAGAAATTAAAAAATAGAAAAAACTAGAAGTTTAGAGTTTATAACCAAAAATACTTAGTCTAAATGTAGAGTACTATTTGATAACTAATAATATAAGAATTCAGTTCGTTGAATATTACAATTAATTAAATAAGGAAACAAATTTAATAACTTGAGGCTGTGATGTAATTATTCTCTTTTAGTGATGTACAAATTATATTATCGAATACAAATTACCCGTAGATATTAAGGACAAGAATATGTTTATTTACCATTATGCTATGAATAATATCTTTAATTATGTTAAAAATTACCCGTTTAAATAAGAACTAATGGTATCAATGTTATCATGGTTTTGGGAAATCGAGTGGAGGAAAAGTTTACATACCCAGATGAATTTGGTACTATTTGATACAGGACTATCCACGAAGTTCTAGAGAAGATAATTTCTAATAGCCTTATGTTTTGCTATGACTATATATCAACAAAAGTCGATGTCAAATATTATCATTTGTTGGATTATTTCTAACCAAGCTGGTGTTCACTCATGGTCAGCTTTATGTTGTTTTGCGAGTGAAGACAAAGACATGATTAAACATATTGGTCCTAGATAACAATAGAAACCCTTGCAACCATACTAAAAATATTGTATACCCTAAAGTCTTTCAAAAAATTGGTATTAATTTTTTTTTGTTGCGTGTACATTCAAATTCTCAAAAATTATTTATTCCACTTTGTTTTTTTGTCTATGGTATTAAAAATCATGCGAGAAGTATATTTTCTGTATTCCAGAAAAAATATTGCAGTAAAATTTTTTTTAGTTTAGACAAAAAAAATTGTTCGACCCCGTGCGGGGCATGGGTCAAAATACTAGTATACTTATATTCATAATTTTAGTCAAAAATTCTAAAACTTTATCAATCAAAAAGTCAAACTGGGGAGTTTTTAAGGGGGGAAATATTTTAGTCCATTGAACATTTTTATATACATGACTTATGACAAAAACTTGCTTTGTCCTTGATTTAATTTTATTTTTGTTTTGACTTTTCACGATCTTTAATACAATATTTTGACTATTAATATCTTTATTTATATAGAAATATGTACTATGAAATACAAAAAGGATACAAAGTATATTAATTTGAATTTATGTTTCAAAGTAAATTAAATGATATTAAATTTATGTGATAAGTTGATATAGTTTTTGGAAATTTTTAGTCAAACTGTGAAGAAAATGTTTGAACATTGGGAAGAGAAAATCAGAGCGGGATGGAGACATGGAATGCTAGGAATACACTAAGGGTATTTTTGGTTGGAAGGAAGGGGAGAGGAAGAAATGAATGGGAGGGAACTGGGAAGGGAAGGATTACCATTACGTTGTTTGATTGGGAGGGGAGGAAATGTTTTGTTTTCAATATTTTATTCATATTTGTCATTTTTAAAATAATTTTATTATCTATTATAAAAATATTATTATAAGTATTTTTTATTTTGTTCTTTCATTTTATTTTTTATAATTTTTATTACTATTTTTATTATTTATCCTACATTTTAATTTTTTTCTCTTATTTAATTTATATTTTTAAATGTAATTATATTTATGTTAGATATATATATATATATATATATATATATATATATATATATATATATATATATATATATATATATGTATGTATGTATGTATGTATGTATGTATGTATATATATGTGTGTGTGTATATATATGTGTGTGTGTGTGTGTGTGTGTGTGTGTGTATATATATATATATCTGTGTGTGTGTGCGCGCGCGTATGTATGTATATTAAATTATTTATTATTTATTACTGCTATTTTTCATTATGAAGAGATTGATTTATTTTATTATTATTATAATTATTTATTAATATTATTATCAATTTTTCCTTCTTATTTTATAATGTTTTTAGTTATGTTATTATTTTTATGGGTTTTTATTTTATTATATTAATATTTTTAGTTTTAATTTTAATTTTTTGTATTTACTTCTTTATTATTATTTCATTTTAATGGTCATTTATTATTTTTTTATTTTTTTATTTTTTGTTATTTTATAATAATTTGTTTTATTTTCTAATTATTTATCGGAGTATTTATTTGTTTTGGCATTATTTATAAAGTATTACTACCATTTATTTATTTATTTTAATTTTTGTTTTTTGTTTTATTTTATTTTATATTATTTTTCTACTGATAAGACGAAAAAAATTGATGAAAGAACAAAAGAAGGACAAGAGAGAAGGAGATTTCGTCCGATTCGGAAGGATTGATTTGGAGGGGAGGGGAGGGAATTGAAGCTAAAATTTTGGATCCTCTCCCCTCCATGTTTTAAACCAAACAAGGGGAGGGATTGTTATTTCCTCCCCTCCCCTCCCCTTCTCTCCAACCAAGGCATTCCTCTTCCTTGCCGTTGCACATGCTCTAAGAATTGAGTGTACCTCAAGTTGTACTCTAAAGAGATACACTAGCATTTTTACGGATCACACTGATATAAAATATTAGTGTAGGAAAAAAAGTAAATTCTCAAAATGGTCCTCTCTAATAAGGTATTTTTCTCAAATCAATCACCAATAAGTTTTAATTACCTACGTGGTTCTCTATAATTAAGATTTATTCCCTAAATAATCCTTTGTAAATAATGTTTTTCACTTGATGATTAATTAAGGGGTATTTTAATATTTTTATCAGCTAAATTTTGAATAAATTCTCAAAATGGTCATTTCTAATGAAGTACTTTTCCAATATAGTTTTTCTAATTAAAGATGTATATTTGATTCGATTTTAAAAAAATATTTTATAGGTTTTTTTTAATAATTCATGGATTATGTATAGTCAATGTATTTTTTTAATTATACATTTCATTATCTAGAAATTATCATTTGGAGAATACACTTTACATTTAGATGAAAGAAATACCAAAATACCATTTAATTAACAATCATTTGAGTAACATTATTTACGAAGGACTACTTGAGAAATAAATCTCAATTATAAATGACCATGTAGGTAATTAGAATTTATTGAGGACTAAATTGGGAAAATACGTTATTACAAAGGACTATTTTGGAAATTATTCAAAAAACAATTTATACCGACATTTTTATGTCATTGTAAACCATCACACTAACATTACACTAACACAAAATATCAATACAAATTTCAAGGAAATAAAATAAGATACTCCCTCCGTCGTCAATTAGATTACAATTTTTTTTCTCCTCTCGATATTTTTAATTGTTTACGCGATTTCAATAAGTAATTAGTATATTCTTATCACCTCTTGTTTTGTAAAACTTTTGACGTAGTTTTTTAATATGTAATTTTTATTTCTTATCGATATACCGATTTGTAAATATGTAAAATAATTTCAAAATGTGAGATATTTATCCTCAAAAATCTCAATTTGTAATCAAATCGGGAATGAACGAGTACAATTTTAGGGGTACAAATAACATTACTCCCTAATTTTTTACTCCCTCCGTCCCAATTTAAATCGTCTGTTTTGATTTTTGGGCATATTTAAGAAAAATAAAAAATATAGTTGATTTTCCGAAATTGTCATTACTTTTTAGAAGGGATGATGAGGAATGAAAATATAAGGTGAAGAAGAGTGACTTATTTTAGGGGTAGTTTAGGTATTTTATTTTTAAAAGTTTACGAAAACAACTAACAGGCAACATATTTTGGAACGAAAAAAAAAGGCAAACAGACAATTTAAAATGGGACGGAGGGAGTACTTTATTAGAGTAGTTCATATCGAGCAGATTAGTACTCCCACTACTCCGTGTATTTTACTACTCCGTACTACTTTCCCAGCACACATACTCGAATGGTTATAATAAAATAGGGTCATGCTACTCCGTAGTACTTTCCCGGAGTATCTACTCGTAAATTTCATTAAAATATGTTTCATATATAATCTATTAAAAATAGAAATTTTAGTATTTTTTAATTAAAACATGACATTTAACCCCAAAAAAATGTAATACATAGTCTCAAAAACATGGTAAATAAAAATATATAGTGCCAAACTTTGGCATTGTAATGTCACAATACTCCTATTTAAGAGATAAAATACAATATTATACGACATAGCAAGTAAATTGAATCGGATTCATTTTAATTAAAAGTTTGAATATTTAATACATGGAAACAAGGGAGTTGGTGATTAATTTCGTACCAAGTGTCAAACCCACCAAAAAAACCCCAAAGAAAGTGACATATATAAAATATAAATAGAGAAAAGGGATCCCCAAAATCTTGCAAGCAAGCTAGCCAAGCCCTCCCTCCATACATACAAAATGATGGCCTCAATAACAAACTATCCCTCTCCTTCCCAAATTGTGGAGTCCAAAGACACACAAGAAGTGATAGTAGTGATCGTACCATTTCTTGCACAAAGCCACATTAATCTTCTTTTCCACATGTCCCGCCTCGTTGCCTCCTACGATTTGCTCGTTTATTTTCTCGGTTTTAGCATCGACATTGTCACAGCCAAACAACGTATCCAAGGTTGGAACCCGACCGACTACCCGACCCTTCGGTTCCATGAGTTCCCCTCGCCCCCGTCTTACCAATCCAACACCAACCCCACACGTGAGTTCGGGTCGTTCACGGACTTGTTAGCTAACACGATGAAAGCAGTCGTGGATTTACGCGGCCCCATCAGAGAGCTCCTGTGGGAGCTCTCGGGCAAATGCCGAAGGCTTGTGGTGGTTGGCGATGCCCTGATGGCCACGACTATACAGGATGTCGCTTCCATACCGAACGCTGAGGCTTACAACTTCTATGTCGGGTCGGCCTTCCACGATGCCTCGCTCGTCTGGGAAGTCTCCCGTAGAGTGCTTCACATCCCGCCTTTCCTCTGGAAGCTCATCGGGAAGCTTGTTCTCCCTCCCGGGGCAGTGATCCCGGACGGTCTTCCGACCCCACAAAGCTGCTTCCCGGCAAATTTCTTGAAGTTCATCGTCGACCAACGAGCCAACCACAAGTTCTTCAAGGGTCATCTCTTCGACGCTTGCAGAGCCATAGAAGGCCCGTACCTCGACCTACTCCGGAGGTGCTACAGGCTACTCAGAAGAGGAAACGTGTGGGGGATAGGTCCGTTAAACCCGGTCGTCACCCAATCAGAAACAAGCAATAATAATTCCACAATGGCAGTGTCGTCGGAACCCACCGACCTGTACGTCGGTGGGTTCAGACAATAAAAGCAGAGGAAACCCTGAGATTGGCAGGACAGGCTGCTGGTCGAGGTGCTCGATCGGCGTCCCAACCTTGTCTCGCCCGTCTCCAAGTAGACCCGCCACTTTCTACACGATTTTCCTCGCTTTCCTACCTATCCCGACGGGCTTCCATACGAGGAGAGAGTCAAAGGGAGAGGGCTCATCCTCCGGGACTGGGTCCCGCAGCTCGAGATCCTGGAGCATGGGTCGACGGGCGGGTTCTTGACGCACTGCGGGTGGAACTCGTGCATGGAGAGCATATGCAGGGGAGTGCCAATGGCGACGTGGCCAATCCAGTACGACCAGGCGAGGAACGCTGTCCTGATGACGGAGGTGCTGAAGATAGGGATCGCCGTGAAAGATTTGGAGAGGAGGGAGGAAGTGATAACTGCGGCGGCGATTGAAGCGGCCGTCCGGAGATTGATAGGGTCGGCGGAAGGAGAGGAGTTGAGAGTTAAGGCGAGAGAGATGGGGAGAGCCGTGAAGCAGTCCGTGATGGAGGGGGGCGTTTCTCGCGTGGAGATGGACAGTTTTATTGCTCATATTGCCAGAAAATGTTGAGAGGGAATCGAAGGAGAGGTGCATTGAAATAAATACCTCTAGTCTTTTTTTCTAAAATGCACTTTCTCATCTTTGTAATTGATTTAAAATATTTTTATTCTAAGTGATTAGTGAGTTCTGTGAGTCTTATAATGGTTTGCAGTGTTTTGCATTTTTTCACTAAACAATTCCTTTTTCTATTAAAAAACAACTTTTACCCCTACTTTTTCATATATTACCTATCACATCATACTTTTTCACTAATAACTAAACTATCACATCTTACTTTTACCCATCACATCAGGGACAAAATTGGAAAGTCAACTAAAATTACACTTTTCTTATTTTGCCCAAAAGTCAAAACAATAACCGTTTTAAGAAACAGAGGGAGTATTACCTAATATTATCTCATGTTCCTTGAAACAAGTGTCTGGTAAGTTATTTGCTTCACAAAATGTGATACGGAGTACTTAAGTTGTGATTAGAAAGGATAAAACCAGAATGGTCTAAAACCTCACCACTGTAATCTAGGTGATCAGACTGATCACACTTTTCATCTTCAACATAAAAATCTGAATACCACAGTAATCTGAACCAAAAAAGGACATGCGATAGAATAGTCACCTCAGCTTGAGAGCTTCCTGTCGCTTCAGATTGGGAGAACAGATCAATGCCCACCTACAAAATTTATCAGATGAATGTCCTCTAATTAATCAAGAAATTGCTTTACAAGGAATGTACATATATGATGGGAAACTCACCTGAGGAGCCTGAGAACTCCCCCCCTGTTTCGGACCGAGTGATAGCAGTTACAAAAGCTGCATCTGCAAATAAATCAACTTCTTTTTGTTCATTCTTTACGGTGGCCTTATCTGATGAAGAAGATACAGAAGCTGTATCCAAGAGGTTACCAACCAAACTTCCCCCGAAAAGATCTACTTGGCTAGAACTTCCCACTGCAGTAGACTTTGTGAAACAAAATTGAAAGCCAATTTTAATTTCAACCACCAAGGGTACCAAAAGTTAGCATGTGGAGGGTTTTGGAGGGGAAAACTTTGGAGGGCTTAGTTCATATCTTGACAGTTGACATATATTTTGTTTATTTTATAAAAATTGAAAGATTATCATAATATGTGATTATATAAGTATAAGATTTACAGTACACTTCAATTACACTGTATCTGTTATTTGTTTTTAGAAATCAAAAACATTCTATTTATCAGATATAGGCTGTCTTTTAAAACCTCCCCCAAGAAAAGCCTCTATCCAAACACTCTTAAGGTCCTAATAGTGAAAACTGATGGTTGAGATTGCTATTGCTCAGAGAAAAAAACCTCAGTCCTACAAAAAGGTTCAACGATGGAATCGCCACATTTATTAAGAAAGGTGAAATTATGTGGTTGAAAGCGGTCCACACGAGAGAAACTATGGGCCACAGAAACTTTTCCATAAATGGAAAATGGAACCTTTTTATGGGTCATAGGGAGTAAGTGTTCATGTGGTATTCATAAAACTGCTTCCGGTGACAATGATATCTGTGTTATAGACGTTTATTACTTTATCGGAAGATATCACTTCTTTGTATGTGACATCATTTAAGTATGTTAGCACCTACTAAACAAATGGATTATTTAACTAAGTAATTAATTAAAGCAGTATACACATGCCCACAAAGACACTTACTAGCAGTTGAAGTCCCACGAGGATCAAAATCTTCATAATCGTCTTTATAATTGCTACTTGGTGTAGTTGCAATCGTTGAGGGTATTGAAGCATTCTTATCAGAGTAGCCTGTCTTGTTTGTCTTTGATCCACTAGCAAAAACAGCACCATGCTTCATACTGTGAAAAATTATACTCCGGTAGACTAAAACAAGCAATGAGAAAGAGCCTACCACGTGTTTGTATTTATTCATCTTTAAATCTCTAAAGTTTATCCTATGCTATTTTTGCATAATTTTTTGTGTTAACTATATTAGACAATTAGCTGACATTATAAATTTCATGTCAATGACCCAAACATGGTGGGTATTAAGGTGCTGATGATGAAGAATATTCAAGAATTATATCCATGCATGGAAGACTAAAATTATGTACATCACTAATAAAATTTAATGAGAAATACAATGAGATGTGCTTGATGCCAATGCACTCGAAATAGAATATGCTTCTCAGAAACCATGTCAGAAGAAAAGTACTATGCGAAAAGCAAATCATGTATAGCAGCCTGGCCAAGAATTTTTCTCAAAAAAGATAACAAAATGAGATACACCAAGTGCCAAGTTTGCACTCCCTCTGTCGCACAAAAAGAGGCCTCTTTGTAAGCTTATTTTTGTTCCAAAGAAGAGTCTTGTTTGAACAAACGAAGGTCATTTTTATTACATTTATTGTCGCTTTTTGCCAAAAAGTGACCCAAATAAATTAAGAAAATTAAAATTAGCCAACAAATAAATTAGGTGAAATTTGCACTAAATAATAGTACTAAAACATGCCATTTCCCAATGTCGTACTTAAACTTTTTTTAGTCTCTAAATAGTACTTAAATAATGTCTAGTGGCGGGAACAATGCCGAGTGATGTTGGACATTTAGTTTGAACAATGTTCAGTGTCGGTAGACATTAACTTGAACAATGACCAGTCGACACTTACTTGAAGTACTACGTTGAGAAATAAAAACATATGATACTACTTTGGAAAAGTCACTATGTTTTAGTTTTATTTAAGTAAAATTCTCATAAATTAGCAAAGCATGACTTTTTGGGACAAAGGTAATAATCTTAAATGTGCTACAAACTGAATTTAAGAAGGAAAAAAATTCATGTTCGGAATGAGATTATTTGCATCTACGTAGTATGACTTGTTAGGCACTATTGAGATATGCATACTACCTTGCATGACGAGAGACCCTATTACTTGAGCTGTCCTCTTTGTCAGAAATTTCCCTTCGAGATCTATAATTAGTATTTCTGTCAATCTTAGGATCACCATATCGATCACTCTCCTTGTGAGTGAATGAGTCACTATCAAACCTTACTGCCAAAACCTCCATATTTACTGCCACTACTCATGGATGCAGATCCTGACTTGTATGTTATTCCAGTACATGATAGTCGAATATACATAGAAAATGATTGTAAAGTTCAACAAAATGCATCTTATAAAAAACCAAGGTTTCTGCATCAACCATATTAAGGCTTTAGAGCGCGCACTTACTTTTCACGATTTGCAGAAGCCTTATCCCTAACCTCCTGTATCCTGTCCTTGTCATTTAAGAGTGACACAATGTGTTCAGCCTTCTTCCTCACGTTGATTCCCACATCCTTCCCGTTTGGTTCAACATACTCAAACTTTGTAAGAGACTTGTGGAAATAAAACCAAAGTAATGTTCAGAAATCAGAATGTATGTTTAAAAGAAAAAAAAACAAAGTAAAATCAGCAATCGGGAAGTTGATTTTAGCTTGGTTGAACAATTAAAACCAAGAACTACTTCAATGCATTCAATCAAATTTTAGAAAGGATACTCAACCTATGGAGGATGATTAAATGAAGTAACATGTCATACAATAACCTACTTAGTGAAAGAGGGAAGTTTCAAGAGGATGGAAACGGTGTGTTTGAGTACAACAATAACAGCAAACACAGAAAATCCCAAAAAGTGGGGCTTGGGGGTGTGCATACGCAGACTTTACCCCATATAGGCAAACACAAAGGGGGTGTTTGTTTTTTCTGCAGGAAAAGGTCTGCAGTCTGCGGACCACTACTGTAGACATCTGCAGGAGAAGTGGTGGACCGAAGGTCTGCGGTCTGCAAGAAGAAGACTGTTTGTTTTTTTAATGTCTGTAGACTGCTATATAAATTAATGGTGGTAGTGTACGGTGGTGGTGTATGGACGATTGTGGTGGTGGTGGAGGGTGGTGGTGG